ATTAGAAACCAGGATAAAACTGAATCTCTGGAATGATAGAGTCTACACGTTTGTGCTATTTTTCTCTCATTCCCTTCGTTTTTGACATATTTGGAGGTTTCTTTATTTGCAAAAGTCACACTACATAGCCAACAATAATATCTACTTTTCCAGATGCTTGGGGTGGAGTATGGGAATCGTTCTTTTTAAATCCTTAATATGAGATATTATAAGAAAGTGTGTAATGATCTAGTCCTCTTAGCAGAAAACCGAGAACTCAAACAGCAGGACTTTTGGGCAAATCTCATATCCTTTTCCCTTCTTTTCTTCTATGATAAGGCCTTGAGCACTGAAAGCAAATTAATTTCCTATCTCATCTTGTCACATTTCCATAATTCCATGGCTTCTTATCCCAGAGGTGTCCTCATCCCCCTGTGTATTCTTCTAAATGAATGAACCCATTATTTTTTTCCCTCTAAGTCCCAAGTATTCAGATGGACCCATTATATTGGTGGGTGTAGGATCCAGTGTCTTTCTACTCCTGCTGCTTATGATAGAAGAATGTGTACATGTATAATGTGCTGCTGTTATCAGTCATTTGAGAGACATTTCACTGACGGTAGCAAGGAAAGGAATCAGAGAACAATATCTGGTTCAGACCTGGGCTAGAGATACAGGCATCATGTGTTTGAAGTTCACTTCTGTCACCAGGGAGGAACAGCAGGGAAGAGGACTTGACCTGTGGGGCTCTCTCTTCCCCTGGGCCTTTGACACTCAGCTGCAGTATACACTTCTTGCTTTTTTCTCTGATTCTTTTCTATCCAGCTACTTAAATCTCTTATTTGTTTGGTAGTCTGGCTTTGCAGAAAAGTAGCAGCAGTTTCAAATAGTCAGCTTAGAGTTTTGAAGTCATAAGTCCTTGAGGATATTGATTTTGGCAACTGTCACATCTAGGTGTTTATCAAATGGCCTGGGAAATGCAGAATAATGAATACCATTCCTGTTAGATCTGGAACAGGTGATGGGGCCTGCATTGACTGAGAAAGCGTAATTTTAACTGAGAAACAGTGTTTCCATAAAACTTTTTCCATTAGTTCCTTTTTATTGTTGTTACCTGTAATTTCATCATCTTTTCATTTAATTCTGTTCAGTGTGATGTCTTTGGGGCCAGCGGGTATTTTTGTCTGCTTGTTACAGGAGTGTTTGTTCTGAAGGCCATACAGTGGCTCAGGGAGGCCAGCCCCACCCACTCTGTTGTTGCTTGGCACCAATCCTCCCTGGTTGTTGGGCATCTTGTTTACTTCTGCCCTTAATTCCCTGCAGGTGCGTAAGTACAAGAGCATGATCCTGGAAGACCTGGAGTCTGCTTTGGCAGAACACGCCCCTGCGCCACAAGAGGTTAACTCAGAACTGCCACCTCTTACCATCGATGGAATTCCAGTCTCTGTGGACAAAATGACCCAGGTAAGGGGAGGGAAGTGAGGAGGAGACGAAAAAACAAGTGTTGCAAATGTGGGTGGGCCTCTCTGGTCACTTTTCCTAGTTTTGTCCTCAGTGATGAGACCAGAGAGTGAGATGCAGACTGGAGTCTGATAGTGAGCAGTAGCAGCCTTCAAAAAGACATTGCAGTGCCAGAAGAATGCTCCCAACCAAGGGCATGGATGTGATCTCCTCCTGTTGGCAGTTTTTTCCTTTCACTTGGGCCTTTAAATTGGATAAAGAAACTTTTAGGTTGGGGTTGGTTTGAACAGAAGAATGTTAGGAGTCTGATGAATTACAATCATCAAATAAACTTTTAGTCACTTTTGGGCTGAGCTGCTTCCCTTTCCGTGTAAGTTCTGAATACCAGCATCTTATTGCTAAGTAAGCTTCCCTCCCCAGGGAATAAGAATGGAAGCCTCAGAAGGACACCCTTCTGAGCCATTGATTCCCTCTTTCTTCCTTCGAGAAGGGAAGTCAAAATATACTTGATAAATCAGCATGCCTTAGTAATTTTGCTGAGATTGTCCCTTTTATATTTCTTTTAGTTTAGCTTGATCACGATGCAGTACCTTTTTGGTAACATATTTTCCCACTCTCTTTCTTTATTAATGCACTTCTATCTTGCTAAATCCAGTAGTCAGTTTCTTTCCTTATCTGATTTAGTCTTCTAGCAGTTGATTACTCCTTCCTTCTTAAAGCATTTTCTTCTCAGTCTCTGTGACCCTTCCCTCTCCTGACTCTCCTCCTTCCTTGGTGATGCTCCCTCTCAGCCCTTCTGCTGGCCCCGCTTCCTCTTTTCACCCAATCAACTATGTACTGTTTACCGCCATCTTATAATCACTATGAGATGTCCAGCACCTAACACGCCCAACACAGAACCTTTGGCTATCCCCCGTCTCCACTCCAAATCTCTTCCTCTCCTGGTGTTCCCCCTGTCAGTCAGTGGCGCCACTGTCCATCTGGTTGCTCAAGTCCCAGCATAGGGGTAATCCTTATTCTCTGTTTTATCTTCCTCCTCCCCCCTGACATCTTAATTCAGTAGCAAGTCATATCAGTTCACCTCTGAAATAAACTCTGGATCTGACCATTCTTCTTAGTTCCCATCACCTACCCTAGCCGAAGCCTTTAGTATCTCCCTCAGGGACTGTTTCAGTGGCCATTGGTCTTCCTACTGCCATTTTTGCTCTGCTACAGGCTGTTCTCCACATAGCATCATAGAGGTTTTTAAAATAACTTAAGTCAGATTATATCATTTCCTTGCTTAAAGCCCTGTAATGGCTTTCCACTATTCCTAGACTCAATTCAGATTCTGCCGTGGCCTTGGAGGCCCTGTGTACTGGCCTCTTCCCACCTCATCTCATTTTTCCTCCTCAGTCACTGGGC